CTGAACATGAGGAAGAACTTCTTCCCTCTGAGGGTGACGGAGCCCTGGCCCAGGCTGCCCAGGGAGGCTGTGGAGTCTCCTTCTCTGGAGATATTCCAGACCCGCCTGGACAAGGTCCTGTGCAGCCTGCTCTGGGTGACCCTGCTTGGGCAGGGGGGTTGGGCTGGGTGACCCACAGAGGTGCCTTCCAACCCCGAACATTCTGTGATTCTGTGAATTAGGAGCTGCTGCATGTAAGACAGGAAATATCAACAAGAACAAGTTACCGGTGTCAGTGTCCGGGCTTTTGTGTTCATTGTCAGGCTGGGCTCAGCATTGCCCACATATTTAACAACTCACTGAGACTGGCACCACGTAGCTAGTGATGCCAGTACGTATGATACCTATATGTTCATAATGATAGGAACATACAAGGGGAAGTCAGTGGTGATGTCAACGGTAGACCTACCAAACACACCAACTCCAGCTGCAAACCACTGCCCCCGAGCAAGTCTGCTCCTCATCTCGTGGGTGCTGCAGAGCAAGAAACTGCAGCCGGAGGCATTTACTTCTTGGTAAAAGGGGGAGATGTCTGATAACATTGCTCCTTCTTTCAGGGGCCTTTCTCATCCCCTATTTCCTGACGCTGGTATTTGCTGGGATTCCTCTCTTCCTGCTGGAAACTGCTCTGGGCCAGTACACCTCTGTCGGCGGACTGGGAGTCTGGAGATTAGCACCCATGTTTAAAGGTACTGGACTGTAAGTTTGTGAAGGCCATGGCACACAACTACGGACAAAAACCTTTAGCGGTTTGGGAAACCAATCCGCAAACCCCTGGGGGACAGGGATGGGGTGGTGGGTGAGGGGAGGTCTTCCCTCTGTCTTTATCAAGCTGTCCTTGACCCTGACAGCCGCAGTCGCTAACATCGCTGTGCTCTGTTCGAGCAGTCTGGCGTGGTGACAAGGCACTTTCCGAGGAGCAGGGACCTCGACGGGGGTGCTCTGGTTGCAGAAGACCTGCCCCAAGCGTCCCTGTGTAGACTTTAATTGCATGGGAAAGCTGTAGATAGGAGATTTGAACCTGTTGCTGTTGCTGCTGCTTTCTGGAAACCAGTGGTGATTTAGAAACGCTTTGGATGTGGGAAAGAGCAATTCTGCCAGGGGAGTGACAGGATCCTGTTCTCATGGAGCTCTGTCCCTGTACCGTGCTGAAAGGCAGCACCGCTCACCCAGTGGAAACGGGAGGGTGCGAGGTGCGAGGGAGAGAGCCTCCCTTGCTGACCAGCTCACGGTGCAACTGCGGCACGCGCTGCGTTGATGAGCTGATTCGCTTTTTCTGGCTCTGCCACGAAACTGGCTGTGGTGCCTGTGAGCTCAGCTGGCTGCTGGAGACCTGGACTGACGCCGCTCTCCGTCTTTCTCTGCAGGAGTGGGACTGGCAGCTGTGGTTCTCTGCTTCTGGCTGAACATCTACTACATTGTCATCATTGCCTGGGCTCTCTACTACCTCTTCAACTCTTTCACCGTGGTGAGTCACAGACATGTCTACAGCGTGGCATTGGCTGTGTTCTGGATCCTCACTCCTTGCTTTATGGGGGGCGAGTCGTTTATGCCACAAAACACTTACTAACTGCTTGCAACTTGTGCAAAGAGCCTTTGTCAGCGCCCTGCTGGACCCTTCCCAAAGAGGCTCATCAGCCCTGGAGGCAGTCACGTAGTGTTGATGGGTACTGATGCTTGTCCTCTGGAGAGGGTGGTCCTCTGGAGGGGCTGGTCCCATCCCCTCTCTGGGAACTGTTCCTCACTCACATCAGTCTTTAAAACCCACCCTGTGTCTCCGTTGTATTTCTAGAGCTTTGTGAATCTCAGAGCTGCACATTTCCACCACTGGGTTTGTCACAACATGTTCATATCACCCAGGACTTAGTCCTGACCTTAATTAGTCCTCATTTACGCTTCTCTTGATAAAAGAAATCCCGGGGTTTTTTTCTGCTGGGAAAATGATTCAGAAAGCATTTAGACATCTGCTTATGACTGTCCTCTTAGTATGTGCTTTGGTGCTGTGGTTTATAGTGTATTCCTCTCCCACAGCAGGGTCTTCTACCACACAAGGTTAGAATCACGCCCCACATTACCTTCTTGGTAGCTGAATGATTTATTTCAGCCCAGCAGCTGGGAAGAGCTCCCTTGAGTCTTTGAGCAACCGGCAGCCTTAAAGACATCAGCCCCATGGTTCAAATGAGATCTGTTTTCTTTTCATTTAGCTATAACCCTGAAATGCTGTTACGAATGCTGTACATCCAGTTTCACTTTTTGATTTGATCAAAAATTTTAAGTGTCTATCAAGACTTTTGCTAAAATATTCTGTTTGGCATTCCCAGCTGTGCTACTACTGCCAGTACCCACTGTAGGCTCCTGGGTCCAGAATAAAATTGTTGGTTATGGATGATAAGGTGCACCCTTGGGGGATTCCCAAATGGAGAAAAGGAACCCATCCCAGATACACCCTGGGCAGGATGTGTCTTAGGATGAGGCTTTGGTACATTCAGGTGTCACAGACCTGACTGGTGACAGTGCTCCTATCTACACAGGCAGCTCCAGGCATTTGGCTCAAGGCCTTTTCTTTTACCAGAGATACTTCAAGATTCCCCAGAGGAGCCAAGGTGCAAATCACAAAGCTAGGCTGATGCCTTCCCCTGTACCTGGTAAATGTGACTAGGAATGTGCCCGTTGCCCCTTGCCCTGTCGCTGGGCACCACTG